CATCTCATCCAAATACAATAAATCTTTCTTTAATATATATATTTTTGTTTTACCCAAGACCTGGTCTGTGGCTTTGCAAGGTAGCTATTACGTGATGAGCTAAATAATAAAACCAAGGCAAAACAAGTTATAAGCTGTTTTCTTAGTAATTACATTTTTTCTCAAGTTTTCTGTGGTTGTATTAATCCTACTTCTTTTCATGATTTAGACAAAGATGACTTCATTGTACATTTAAAGCGTCTAAATTTATGCCCACCTCAGCTGATGCTTCCCAGCTAACATTTAAGGTTCTCTTTTGTACTCTTATTCTTCCCTTTTATAAGAAAGTTACATGCAAACATTTTATTTTAAAGCAGATGGCTACCTAAGTTTATCGTTTCATGTTTCCTGAGATATCAACCTCCCAAATGAAGCTTGCTTCTTGGCCAAAAATATGCCTATGTAGTTTGTTTAGTTTCCAATCTCTGAGTAAAAACAAGTCAACTAAGTAATTTAAACGGCGAGATAACACCACTGTTTGTGCAGGAGCCATGTAAGTTTGGGTTATAGGTTTTCAGTTCTGAAAGGTTCATGGACAGGCTCATGGTCTTCATGTGGACAGAGCTATTCTGCACTTTTTCTCTATGGCGCCGACTGTGAACCTGAATCTGGGACATGCTTGAGTGATTTCTCTGAAGCCATAAAGAAAATTTAACTTGGCGTACATTTTAATATTTTTGGTAATTTGATTACACTGCATTATTAATAACAGTAACTCTATAACTTAAAAATATTCCTCTTTTTAAATATATCCTCTAGATCCATGCATGCTGTCGCAAATAGTAAGATTTCATTCTTTTTTATAGCCGAGTAATATTCCATTTATACTATACCACAGCTTTTTTATCCACTCGGCTATTGGTGGGCACTTGGGCTGCTTCCATATCTTGGATATTGTAAATGGCACTGTAATAAACATAGGGGTACACATATTCTTATGAATTGGTGTTTTGAGTTTCTTCAGATATCCCCAGATGAATACTGGAAACATCAGGGAACACTGTAAAAATATATGATTGTCTAACCACCATGCTGTGCACCTGAAACTAGTACAAAATAATGTTGAATACAAAAATATCTATACTTTTGACTAAATGAAAAAATAATATTTTACTGATAGACATAAAATATTTTTTTCATATTGATGATGCTACAATTTTAAATGTAATCATATGTCCACTGAAAGAGGTATGTTGTGCCACTTTTTTTCACCCTCAATATGGAACTGCTTGTAATTCCTGACACTCATCCTCATCTCCCTCACCTTCATGTCTTTATTTTTTTTTAAAAAAAAATATTTTTATTGATTCGAGAGAGGATAGGAGAGGGAGAGAGAGAGATAGAAACATCACTAATGAGGCAGAATCATTGATAGGCTGCCCCCCTGCATTTCCCACACTGGGGATGGAGCCCACAACCCAGGCACGTGCCCTGCCTGGGAATCGAACCATGACTTCCTGGTTCATAGGTTGACGCTCAACCACTGAGCAACACCGGCCAGGCTCCATGCCTGCCTTTATGGGTCTCTCAGCAGATTCCAAGCCATCCTTCCATCAGCAGGTGCTTCCAGGAGCCGGGAGAAAGGAAACTCCCAGAGCTCCTGGGTTTTGCCTGCTGTGTGCACTGCTCTCCCCCCCCCCCCCCC